GGGCCGCCTCCTCCCGCACGGACCCATGAACCAGCCGGGCGGCGCGGCGGCTCCGCAGGTACGACGGGGGCCGGGGGCAGCACCGCGCGGGGGACCCCGGGGGCCGGCCCCGGGCTGCGCCACTTCAGCGCCGGCTTTGCAGGATGCAAAGTGCCCGGGCGCGTTTGCGGGCTTTTGTGGGCGCAGACCGGAGGGCTGGGGTCCGGAGAGCCCCCCCGGGCGTTGCGGGATGTGGGGAGGGCTGGGGCGACGAGGGGTGCCTCTCCGGGGGTCCCCACCCGGCGCCCCCTCCAGCCCCAGGCTCGGACCGGAGCCCAGAAAACAAAGCGGCGAGAGAACAGAGCAGCCATTTCAGTTTGGACAATTCACATTTTGCAAAAATGCAACCCCGTCCAGCTCTGCCCCCTCCTCCCTAAATTTGCAATTTCCCCCTGACCCTCTCCGTGATCGCAGGCCCCGGTGACCCCCTCTCGGGAGAGCGTTCCTTCCAGGCCCCCCATCTTTGCAACAATCTTTTTTTTAGGCCATATTTCCCTTTCTCAATTTTTTTTTTTCTAATTTTTCTTCAAACGGTAGTTTTTTCCCATTAAAACGACGCCACCTAGAGGATACTATTTTGTAAATAAAAAAGAAATTAAAATTGAAAAGAAATATTTTTATTTCTTATTTTTTCAAAAGTTTACTCCATAAGGCAGTAGAAGGGAAAAGGATTCTTTTTTATTTTCTTTTTGGAAATGAAAATTTTCACTTTGATCTTTGCAGAAGCATGGAGAAAATTTTTATTTCTGAAGCCAAATCCATAGTATGTAAATAAAAATTAAGATGAAATTTGAATGAATTCAGTTCTAAGAGGGGAAAAAGCAAAAAGCCTCCTAAAAGCAAAGTCAGTGTAACCACCCAACTCGTTTTAGTTTGAGAAAAAAACTAATTTGAATGAGGAAAGGACGGAAATTGTTGAGTTTAGGGAAAACTGGAAGATTTGGCTTTATGAAGCAATTAGAAATTGCACTTCATTGTAATTTGGAACTTGTTTAGCTCATCGGGCAAAAATGGCTAATTTTACCTTTTTTCAGTATTTAAAGTTACTCTATTTCCAAGAAAGAAGGATTTAAAAAAGAAAATAGACCTTAAATGTTGGCTTTGGACACACCCAAAAATTGTAGTGTTTTTTTTTTTTTTTTAATTTTTCATTTACATTTAACTGCATTAAAATCCTAACATTCTAAAGAAGAAACAGAAGCTGGGAAAAGTTGGAGTGAAATCCTGTGTTTCTTTTTTCTGGATTTGTTGGGGTTTGTGTGTGTGGCTTTTTTTGTTTGTTTGTTTGTTTTGATGGAATAATTAAGACTGTTTTCTGATTTTGCTTCCTGAAGGATCTAGGCATTTCTTTGCTGCTGTTGTTTTATCCAGAAAATGTCAGGAACCTTTTTTGAGCAATATTCAGTGGAAAAAAATGTAAATTCATATATTATACAAATTGAGTGGCTCAGATTTGTAGGAGAGACCGCCATTAAAATAAGATATGCATAATTAACATTATTATGAAAAAACTGACGGTGGAATCACAGAGCCTCATGTCTTAGGACATGCAACAGAGTCGACTGATGAGGACCGGGATTGAGGGGTCCTTGGTAAGGGAAGGAAATTTTCCTTCTCTATCTTGTTCATGCTTCCAATTTGAAAAATGTATTATTATTATCATTTTTTAAATCCAGATTGGTTTCAGGCCTTTTTGATTCTGATATGGGATTGGTAGTTTATTAACATTTTTTAGTTTTTAAAAAATTTGATTACTTTCAGATGGAGAAAAAAAATCCATTAGCTTTGATCATTTTGGGGGATTTGTCACAAAAAAAAAGAAAAGAAAAGAAAAAAGAAAAAAAGGAATGAAAAAGAAAAAAAAAAAACAAGCACTCTTAATTTTTCCCAATTTAAGAAAAGAAGAAAGAGAGAAGGAAGAGACAAAAATTCTGTTTCTTAGCCATCTTACCTAGTAGAACACTTTGTTGGAAAAATGAGATAAACTACCAGCTCAGCTGATTCTAGCAGCAAAAATTATTTTTTTTAAGAAAAAAAAATCAATGCAAACAAAAGCCAAACCCAAAGGTACTTGTCTTTAAAATATGGAAGCACCTGTACAAACAGTATTTAATATGGCATTTTTGGTCTTAAAATGAATCAAATGAAGGTGAAACAAAAAAGAAAAAAAATTTTTTTCCAAAGACAAATATTGACTGAATTGAATTGTGACAGATGGAAAAAAGATCCCTACCCAAAGAGGAAGAGTAATTTATGCTATGTTAAAATCTGGAGTGAATTTGCTTGGGATTTGAGTATTAAAAAAAAAAGCTTCTTAGAAAGTTCTGATTTTCCTATCCAAAAGGATACCTATATTGGTAGCATTTGCAGAGAGAGACTGTGTGGGGCTTTCAGTAGAGAGCTCATGGTGGGTCACAGGGCAAGAAGAGGGAATCTGGACTCCTGTGACCAGCCCCTTAGCTGGTCTTGGTAGAATTTGTGGCCCCAGTCCATGGCCTCCCACCCTGTTTTATGGAAATCGAATTTCTGAGGAGATACTAATTCTGTAAAATATATTTGACAGTGGCATGGGATTGACATTCCCCATCATCGCCATTGCATTTGGGAGGATTTTTTTTTTTTTTTTTTTTTCTTCATAGTAATGAAATCCTTCAGGGCTGACTGGCCACATTCTGACATACTTGGAATGAGCTTATTTTTCTTTTTAAGTAGCATAATTAAAATTTTTTTCCTTTGAATTATTTAGGCTGATACCTAGGACGGTCAAGGAATTTATAATTTCCAAGCGGCTCTGGAGGCCTCATGAGATAGTAGGCCCAAGTTTAGCCGTGATGGAAGAAGACTGGGCTGAGGATGGTGGGATAGGGGTAGGGACATCTGAGAAAAGTCAGAATTGTAGCTAACAGATTATTTAAGGTACAAGGAATAGAAATACTGCAGCTCATCCCTTTATGTGGCCTGGAATCTCTTGACACACAATTCAGATTTCTTCATTTTATTTTGCTCAAATTTTATTCTATTGTTTATGGCTTAAAAGCAACCCATGGCTAGAGATTGAAAATTATTTCTGCTTGTATAGACTTTTTTTCTTTTTTTTTCCTTCCACAAAATTGGTTATTCTGGTCATGCTTGTTATAAAGGAAGTAGAAATGCATGATGGTCCTGTTGGGGGCGGGGCTAGTTCCCTTTTGTTTCTATTGGTGCCTCTGGATTGAGATCTGACCTGGACTGTGTGTCTCAGGCTTCTTTTAGATAGAATTATGACCAGAAATGGATATAAGAACTAATTTTTATGAGTCTGTGTCTGTTCATCACACTCTGTTATATTATGGGGCAAAAGATCTGGTAAATTGGACTTAAGGAGTGGTAATTTGATGATGGTCTGAGTTATTTTGGTGAAAGATCATTTAAGCTCAGTTTCACAGTGGAGACTCTTATTACTTAATGTTTTGCTTTTTTGCCTAAGGAGTTTTTTCTTTTCCTTCTTTAATAAGGTTTGAAATTTCAAATGCCTGCTTTATAGCTTGACTTTGGATCAAGCTGGGGAAGAGGGTTGGCATATACCTTGAGCCCGGCACAGAGGTGAACTTTAACAGGGGTTCTTGATTTTGTAGAAGGAGCGCGACAAGGTGTCCAGTGTGGGTAGTGCTCACCTCTCCCTGAGCCTAGAAGGTAATCAATGGCTGTTTCATTTGAGAAATAATTTAAAACTCCTCCAATATCAGAGACAGTTTCTTGCTCTGAGCATACTGCTTCCGCCGGCCCCAGAACCCTGACAACCTCACATTGGTGGGTGACAAGAACTTCAAGACTACGTGAGCTGACTTTTCACGGTTGTATGGAAATTTCAGCCTCTCCTGTTCTTATGATGCTTCTCGGCAGTGGTGTCCCCTCTGCGGTGATTTGATGATTTGAATTGGCTTCGTGTGCACTCGGGCCTTGGCCCTCCAAAGGTTTTGCTGTGTGACCGTGGGCAGATCACTTGTCCCTTGAGAGCCGCAAGAAACGTTTTTTGGTGTGTGTGTGTTTCCAAAATGACTGCTTTGGGTTAGAGCAGGAGTATTGATAAATAGGTCTTGTCTACAGTCCTCATGCCAAAGGACTGGTTACAGCTGCTTGGATCACTGTGCTGAGGACGGTTCTGAGCCCGTGTCTGGACCGTTTCCCCGTTCTGGAGAAAGAGGTGTAGGGATCTGATCATCCGTGTGAGGCTCTCCTGTACCCCGTACTCAGGATAGACCTCAAATCACCGCCTACTGGTGCGTTGTGGAATCACCTTGTGGATTCACACATTCAGCTTTAAAAAACAAAGAGGGACTTATTTCATGAAACATCATTTGCGGATGTAGATTTATAGTGTGAAATATATTTACTCCTGTGGATCAAAGTCAGTTTGAAAGGTGTTGGACTAGATGAACCACTGTGACGTGCCACGAAGCCGCTGTGCTTGATTGCTTCTGTTTTCCTTATCATCTGATTCATGACTTAGTGGACTTCCAGCGACCTGTGTGGAGTGGGTGTCCCGCACCAGCCCTCACTGCAGCCGCTTCAAGGGCTGCCTGTGGAGTCCTGCGGCTTGTGTGCGCTCAGGCACAAGCTGGTGACCTGGTAGGGCGCTGGAGTGGAAGGTGCTAGATGCTAGGTACCATCTTTGCTTGGCCCCCTCACTGGCGGGGTGATCGAAGGTAGCGTAGCATCTCTGCCTTGGTGAGGACAGCTGTCACAGCTGCTTCAATTCCTTCCTCACTTTTTCTTGAAGTTGCTGGACAGGTTTTTTTCCTGGAGCTACTCCGCGCTAACACTGTGTTTTTGGTTTGGATCAGCCTCTGTGTGAGCCTTTATTTTGCGTGAATGAACTTCCCTCCAACAGGATCACTGTCTTAGAGCTCCCCATCTCTAAGCATGTTACACCAATGTGGTCCAATAGAAATATAATTCAAACCACAGATTCGAGCCATGCATATAATTTAAAATTTTCTAGTAGTGTATAAAAAAGTAAAGAGAAACAGGTGATGTTGA